AGGACTTGTGTCGCTAAAGTTTCCTCGGAAAGAATTTTTACGGAAAATTAACAAACTAACGACCAGAGACGTAACATTATTGTTGTAACGGTTTCTTTTATAGGGCAGATTCTTTTTGGCTATTTAGTAAAAATAATTCGTAGTTCAGTCCACATGTTTGCGACGGGTTATCTATTTCCTCAAACTCAATATACAAGATCTACAGGGTACAACCGTTGATAGGCCTAACTTCACAAATAATGTTTTAACAGAAATTCGGAAACTGATTATATGTGTAAATTACAAATACAACTAATGTTGAACTTGATAACAATCACTTATTTGCAAAATATCCTGTCGTATGTATGCCATAACTTAAAACTGGCTAATTGGCACGCCCGATAATCAATCGATAACATGGTAACAGATTCACTAACTAATTAATCAATTAACTGGCTGAATTAATTCTCTCTAACTCAATGACTAACTCACTCGCTCTGTTTTATGCAATATTTGTTTTGTTTTTTCACACTTCTTGAAGATTCAGGATATCACTTGTGGTCTAAACTTTTATTAAATGTCTAGTAGCCAAGAACTCTAAATTAAAATACTAAAATGATAGTGTATATCTAATAGTTTATGCTTAATAAATCTGACGAATTTTATTGCTGGTGCATTGTTTCTAAACTCAGTTTCATGACCATAGCTTTGGGTTCAATTACATTCCTCGTGCACACAAATATTATTTCATCCAATTGTGATTATACATAAAAAGAAAAAATAATTCTATTGTTTATCACCATTATACTTTTTTACGGGAAGTTACAAATGAAAATTAAATTCTTAATATATATATGAAGTAATTGTATCCAAACTTATGACATTCTACGGCCAGACTAATTTATCATATAATTCATATTTAGTCACATTGTTTTTGAATATTCGTCAATAGAGGGCCAAGTTATCTTGGGTGTAGGCATACAAATGCAAAGGAGTATGCCTGAACGCAATATTGAATGCTAAATACAGTTCATTTGTTTTCAATTTCGGTTAAAATGTAATTTCAGCATGAAAGAGGAGAAATAATACATCTGTTTCAAAGGAACATCGTGCTGTTGTTGGATTAAGGTGGTAGAAACGAGACTAGTTATGACTTAATACTAATTTATTTCCTTAACATTACTTGGTCGTTAGGAAAGGAGTGTCACAGTCACAGTAAGACTGAGAATAAGATTAACATTATTGTGCTTTTAGTTTAGGGTTAAGAAAAAATTAAAACTAGCTTGTGTTGTGAGTCGTGTAGGTTATATAACTTGTGTGAAAGTATGTTTAAGATGCTCAAGTGTCACCCGTAATCCAGTTTTGCACTTTGCAGTGTTGGTCGTTCAACTTCAAGGCCCAAACGAAATGGATATTTAATTCTGTTAATGTTATAACTTATATAATTTATATAACTGATGCATATGATATATTACTAGTATAGACAGTATACTACTCGGGAGTCGATGTGAATTGTAATGAACAAAGTGTGTGCTTTATGTTTTCACTGCAATCACGAACCGTTATTTAATTAACTTGAATCAAATGGTTGATTCTTAATCTCATGTTAAATCGGTAAAATTACCAGTAAAATATTACTTTAATTGAAAATCTGGAATCTGAATATAGATTAGAACTTTAAAATCAATGAAGCTTGGAACACGTTGAATGTTATTCTAAATTAATGCTGCAAGTTTTATCAATCATAGATTAATATTATTAATTTTTGGTGATATCTGGCATACTTGGAGTTCCTCATGTCATCAGATAGTGATTCAGAAGAATTTTTTGATGCTGAGGACAGGACTCCCTCCCGTAACCATGTTCAAACTAGGCCTGCGGAGGGAAAGCTTGTAAATCGTCATTCATTTGAAACTGTGTCAAAACTGACTGGTTGCAGTGGTATAGAAACAGGAAAACCAACAAAAAATGATAAGGAAGGTGTAATACAAAGGTATGTGTATATCCTAGTCTTTTATCACTTTGCAGAACATAAAATTATCCTTCATTCTGATAGAATTAGTATATGTATTATTTGCTGTACAAACTGGATTATATTGTATTATTTCATGCTAAAAATTATATAAATGTTTAACCTAATTGTTTAAGGAAGAATACTATAAGAATGTTAGTAACAATGTATTTGTTCTGGAGTAGTTCTGGTAGATAAGAGATGACTTCAGTTAGCTGATTGTAATATTCAAAATTAGTACCTGCTTACTTTGCAAGTGCAGGTAGATTTCACTTTTTTTTGGGAGGGGGGGGACTTTTATGAATTATTAGGAGAGTATTAGTTTTTAATGGAACAGGAAACCTACAACATTGACAGCCTGTGAAGTATGCAGTTGTTGCAATAAGCCATTTTGAGGTATTTCCTTTCTTTAGTATTTTGACAAAAGTTGCAGCAGATCATATATCAGCATTTTCAGTGAATGATCAATGAATGTTAGTTGGGTCAGCAGAATGTTTGTTCATCCAGTGAATTTTTCTAGCCATTTGCTCATTTTTACCAGTGGCTATAAAATTGGTGATGTCAAACCATGTAAATGACTTGCCACCTTTCTCTTTCTTATATGTAAAACTAAAAGTGAACTATTCACAGAAATAAAAAGCAAATATTTATACTTATAAATGCAGCATAAAAGTTTGTGCCACTAACTTTCCATGTCAAAGAAAGTGCTGATTTTTATGAAGTACATTTGATAACTGTAACACTCATAACTAGAAAGCAGCATAACATAACATAATGTTCTGAGACAACATGGGACCTATTGGTCCATCTCTGCTGTCCCATCCTCTAAACTACAACTATTAATAAATAAATTTTAAAAACAATAAATAAATCTTAAAGCCATCTCTTATATTCATATACTTATCAAGCTTTCTCTTAAACTCACTTAAATTTACTACCTCAGGATAGGAGTAATCTTCCATTAAGACAGTTTTATTTTTCTAACAGGGTAGTTGGCCCTTGGAATGGGTTGCCTTCAGATGTTATAGCCCAAAATGTGTATTTGTGTCCCCTAGTCCTACTATTCTCACTGTTAAGTATGAAGTAAGATGATGCATCAACACTATCAATTCTCCTTACAATCTTAAACACTTCTATCAGACCCCCTCTAACTCTTCTTTTTTTCAAGAGAAAATGATTTGAGAGAATTCAACTTCTCTTCATATGACAACCCTTCCATCCCAGGCACCATTCTAGTAACCTTTCTCTCAACCCTTTTCAACAATTCAATGTCCTTCCTAAGGTAAGGAGCCCAAAACTGAACACAATACTCTAAATGTGGCACATCCAGTGACTAATACAATGAAATTATAACCTCTTTAGACTTGTATTCAATATTTATGTAGACACAACCTAAAATCCTATTTGTCCCACCACTAGCAACAGCACACTGTTTGGATGTCTTAAGAGACTGATCGACTGTTGTACCAAGATACCTTGCTTTCATGACACTGTTAAGGTTATTCTCATCCAAGTTATACTTATAATTCAAATTATGAAAACCCACATGCATTATCTTGAATTTATTATAATTCAAACCCAGCTGCCATATATTTGCCCAACTCACTAAATGATCTAAATCCTTTTGTAAATCAGCAGTATCATCTTCACAGCTAGCAACACCCAAGACCTTAATATCATCTGCAAATTTAAGTAATTTATTG